AAGCATGTTTGGTGTTGATTGCTCCGTCCTCCCATGTTGTCCTCGTGTCCTTGGAGGGAGGAGCTAAGATGTGAGAAAAGAATGCAAGAAAAGGAAATGAGAACACACAGTGAAGGATATGAGAGACACCCACTGTTTCACTAGTAAGATTTTTAACATTTATACTTCGTGGAGTTTAGAAGGAACGCCTGTGGGTGGAGCCTCATTAGCAGGGGATTTTATCAACATCCACTACCTTAATCATTATGAGATCATGTCTGGCTCTGTGAGAGCACAGTTCAGTTTTACTAATTCCCAAAGCAGAGCTGTCTAGGTCTTTAATTCCAAAAGCTGAAACATGTCTCATAATGTAGAATAAGAGTAACAATATTCCTTTTGATCAGTTTGAGTGCAGTACTTTCAAATGATAATTTTAAGGGAACTGCCTCAAAGAATAAAATAAAATAATATACTGTATCAGCCTATGTTAATGTTTCAGTAACAGTATTGGAAAAGTAAAAGTGGTCATAGCATCAATAAGTACAAGCCAAAGTAATGCTATAAAAATAAAATCTAATAAGATGCTTTTTTTTAGCCCAGGTTTACATACTTTAACAATAGGGCAGCCTTCGCTACTGGAGTGTGCATGACGTGTCTTCATCCTTGAGCAGCCACCGACCATGTGAGAAACGGCTGCATCCTGACTCTGTCCTTCACTTTCCCCAGTAGGAAGGTGGATGTACTAGTTTTGAATGTATCCACCCACAATCCTAGGCCAAAATCATATGGACACCCAAAAATTACCTATATGCTTGTTTTTTTCGCCAGAGCTGTAGCACTCTTTAATCACAGTGGACACCTCACAGCTCGGTCACTTCTCTGCTATCTTTCATTTCTCCTCTTTATTTTCAGAAGTTTGTTATTTTTTTTTAAGCTACAATGTTTGGGATTGTTTTATAAAGAGGGATGGGGGAGGAGCTAAGTAGCTAATAGCTGTAGCCACTACAGTTTTATTAAATGTAGCTAGTAGCTGTAGCGCCTACAAATTTTTGTGTAGCTATAGTGAAAATTTTCGCTACAATTTCGCTACAGACTTCAGGCAATCCACGCAAAATCTGAACCAGAGAATGCAGTCGTTAACTGGGCTGGTGACGACTGTGCAATCCTGACTGAGCCGCGGACAGTTCGAGCAAACGATCACGCACTCATCACCCCTTACTAGCAGGCTTAGCTCAGGTTTCTCAACTGAAATGTTAAGAAGAGCCATTTTGTCCTTTCAACAAAAATCAATCCACAACATTTATGTCTGTTTTACCATTTTGGCTGTAAGTATGTCTGAGAATGTGCTGATGTGCTAGTACAGGCTAATAATATAATATAAACAAAAAGGCAACTTACGTTCTCTGCTTTAAGCTTTAGGTCAACCATACCCACTTCTCTCCCATCTCAGGAAAGTATTCCACAAGTTCCTTGTAAAATGTCTCTCAACATTAGACTTTTTATGAGGCTGAAGTTATGAGGCTCATTCACCAGCTTCTAGTTCAAATTTTCCCGTTCCACTTTAAATGGTGCCTGAGGCGCCAGATTGTACTGCTGTGCCATTTAATGTGGAACGGTAAAATTCGAAAGAGAAGCACCCCAAGCAGAGCCAGGGTCACTGATGACAATTTTGAGGCTAAAGTGTTGCTGACGTTTAAAGGACTCTGCTGAAATGTTTAAATTGGAGCAGTTTTATTTCAACAGTTGACAGTGCTTTGCACAAAATTGTTTGGTTTGTATTTGTATTTTTGTTGATTTTTGTTAGGAAAAACCTGGAATGATGTCTGTTACTTAGTCTAAATTTTTGTTGTATATCACACCTTTGGTTGTGTAAGTTTGATTGTTGGTTACATTTAAACTCACTTTTTGGTGATCTTTTTGTATATTTGCAGCTTTTTGATTGTGTGTTTCTGGCTCATGATTAAAAGCAGGGTCTTGTTGACACTTTCAGTTGGGCTTGTTTGGTGTGTCAGGTGGAGATTCACAAACATTCTGACAATCATTCTTTGAAAGTAGCTAAAAAGTAGTGCTCTACTTTTTTTTTAAAAAGTAACTAAAAAGTAGTGCACTACTTTTCAAAAAATAACTATGAGTGTGGCGCAGAGTGGGTGGGTTGGGACCCAAGAGTGTCCACATCCTCTCCATGCAGGCTCTCCACTGGTTTCCCACAAGGCTCGGTGCTGGGTCTTCTTCTCTTTTCTCTTTACACTAGCTCTCTTGGTGATATCCTTTCATGGCTTTTCTCATCACTGTTATGCTGATGACACTCAACTAATGCTTTCTTTCTCACCCTCTGACACACAGGTTTCCAGTCACATCTCGGCATGTCTGTCTTGACATCTCTTCATGGATGGCAGCTCACCACCTGAAGCTCAATCCTTGCAGGACTGAGCTGCTATTTATCCCTGCAACATCAGGTCCTCATCATGATCTCGCCATCTCATTTGAGAACTCTCTGATTGTTCCATCTGTAGAGGCAAGAAGTCTTGGTGTGATTCTGGATGGCCAGTTATTGTTCTCGGCTCATCTTATGAACCTAACTCGGTCATGCAGATTTCTTTTGTACAACAAGGCGGGTGCCCTAGTCTTACCGCTGAGGAGACAGGCAGTGCAGGTCCTGACCAAGGACTTGATTTCCCAGCCAATGCCCGGCCACCACATGAAATCGCAGCAGTGTCATTTAAGCCTGACTATGCCCAAGTGACCCTCGTGAACCATGGCAAGAATATACACACAGATGACACTTTGAACCACAGTGCAGAGCCCCCATGCGTCACAGGTGTCATTCCAGCAAGACAGCTCATCTCTCAACCTGATGTAAGGAGACAGTTTATCAGGCACCTTTTGGGGCCAGGCTGCCTGATGTATATGGAAAGCTAATAGAGGATGGGGTCAGCCACGGAAGCGTCTTGGAGCACCTGTAGTCTCCTGAAGCGGTGTGTGAAGAAGCTGAACGAAGTCATTTTCCACCTGATCTCGGTCCTGTTCAAGTAAGGCGAGCTGGGAATCGAGTGCGATAGGACCACTTTGTCACTGCCCTGTGTGACCCAAAGGCGGTAGTTATACTACTGTATGCGGTCGGCCCAGTGATGAGAACGGAGTGGTTTTTGACCAGTGCCTGACGTGGCCAGAGGAGTGGTGAGTGCCTGGTGGTCAATCTGTAGGGTAAAGTATGCTTATAAGGACATGTGCCAGCATTCACATGCCAGAGCCTTCTGCTCCCCATGGTGTATCCGTTCCATGGGACTGAGAGCATGGGAGGTGAAAGTGATTGACCTTTCCACATTTCTCGCCACCATCGGTGCTGTGCTGTCCTAGGTGTAAAATGGACTGCACACCAGCAAGATGGGAGACAAATCATCACTCCGCCAGCTGAACCTCCGATAAATTATGGAGAAGCTGGTTTTAGGGGGGTAAGGCTGTTGCTTTCCCTGTCCACCAGCCCTCAGTTTCAGAGAAAAATAATCCTAGTTTCTCCTCCACCCTCAATTACTGCCTCAGGGGCCCAACAACTCTCCTCCCCCATCACAATCACCAATAGTTAAACCTAGTTAAACCTGCCTCACTGAAGCTCAGCCAAATTGATGAACTATTAAGCTATTCCAGCATCTGCAGCACCTCAAAGAAAGAGACAAGCTGCTCAATCAACAGCAAGACAGCTTTGCTCTCTTCTTCATCATCAACAGGCATTCCACCCACCCTCATTCACTTAAAGGAAAGAGATCACATCATTTTCAAGTAATCCGACAAACTGATATTTTTTGGGTCTGTGCTGCTAGTGATGAGGTCCGCAGTACATCCCCCATTTGCCATTTATTTGATAAATAGGGGAATGAGAGTACACTTCCCATTGCAGTATTTATTAAAACAGAAAGAACTGGCAGTACATGCCAGATAATGTGAATTTATCCAATCTGCAGTATATAAAGTGTGGGTCACAGCTTCTGGAGCAAAGTGCACCGGTTATTACATTAGCTCTTCTTAACATAAGATCTCTCACAAACAAGTCTTATTTGATTAATGACTTTATTACACCTCATGGGCTTGATTTTATGCTTTTAACAGAAACATGGTTACCTGAATGTAGTGCTGAAACCGTATTAATCGAGTTGGCTGCACCAAACTTTAGTTTTATAAATGTCTCACTTGCTGTCAGGAAAAGTGAATGTGTAGCTGCTCTTTTGAGGATTCTTTCCAATGCAAGCAGTTATCATTGGGTGACTTAACATCCTTTGAGTCTCTTTGTGTGGTTCTGAAAGGGGCACAAAAAATATTACTAGTAATTGTCTACAGGCCTCCAAAGTACAATGCTAATTTTATTGATGAATTTACAGATATGTTAGCATTTATTTCCACTGATTTTGATCATGTTGTTATTGCTGGCGATTTTAACATATATATTGACAATCCCAATGACAGTTATGCCAAAGAACTCTGTGCTATATTGGACTCTTTTGGACTTTGCCAGCATGTGACCAGGAGCACACACTGTCATGGCCACACTCTGGATGTGGTTATCTCAAAGGGTCTCAACGTATCAGCCACTGTTAAGGATGTCGCTTTGTCAGATCATTACTGTGTTTTCTTTGAAATCTGGACCTTGCTAAACATCAAGACCAGACACATCTGCTTTACAAGAAGGTTCATAAATGACAGAACAGCTACACTTTTCATAAGAAATTGCTCTGCACTATGCGAACCATCTGACTCTGTTGATGCTTTACTGGATACTTTCAACTCAAAAAATGTCAGTGTTATGGATGAGATTGCACTAGTTACAGCTAAAACTGTGTCATGCCAACAGAAAGCACCTTGGAGGAATGCTACAGCAGTTCAACTCTGACAGAGAGAAGGCAGAATGCAAATCCAAGCTTCAGATCCACAAAGAATTCTTCAAAGAGTTAGGGTTAGGGTTATTTGCATAACAGTATACACACACACACACACACACACACACACACACACACACACTCTCTCTCGCCGCTTATCCTTCTGGGTTGCGGGGGGTGCTGAGACCTATTCCAGCAGTCACTGGGATTGGGCGGAAGGCAGGAAACACCCTGGACAGGTCGCCAGTCCATCGCAGGGCAGACAGACTGACATATACAGTCACACACACACTCACACCTAGGAGCAATTTAGCATGACTTCATGACTTTGGACTGTTGGAAGAACAACTGTACAGATGTTGTTTTTGCTAATGTTGATATAATTCTGTAATATTTTGTATATAATTTTTTTATAGTATATGTCTATTTAGACTTCCATATGTACATACATTGATTTATGCATATTTATAGATATTTTCTTATCACTTTAGGCCCTCTCCATGGCTCTTTATTATTCTTTAATCTATTTATTGTATTTTATTTTATTTATTTATTAACAGTCTGCATGCTTGTCTGGTCTGTTTAGTATGTTACATGTCACACACGTGTGCACTCACCAAGACTAATTCTGTGTATGGTAAACATACTTGGTGAAATAAAGTGGTTCTGAATCTGAAGATCTCATGCTAACACCATTAATTTTAGTATTATATGGAGATGGTCCCAATTTTGTTGCTATAACTTCCTATGTTCTCACAGTACATGCTTTATTGCTTGGCGTTCTCCTTCTATAAGCTTGTTTTGTCCGCTGCTCCACCACTGAGCTGTTGATGCTTAATGGCATTTCCACTTTACAGTAACTCACTGGACTGTTGGACTATCTGGGGAAGCTACCTGATCTTGACCTGCGTCTTCTCTGCACCAGCTTGCCAAGTTTCTGAACCCACTGGACTGTTTGACTTTCTGGGGAGGCTACCTGTGGCTCACCTGCTGCTTCTCTGCCTTGGCCTGCCTGGTCTTTGAACCCACTGGCCTGTTTGACTATCTGTGAAGGCTACCTGTTGCTGCCCTGCTTCTTCTCTGCACTGGCCTGCCTGGTCTTTGAACCCACTGGACAGTTGTACTGTCTTGGGAGGCTACCTGTTGTTGACCTGCTTCTTCTCTGCAATGGTCTAACTGGTCTTTGAACCCATTGGACTATCTGGATTATCTGGGGAGGCTACCTGATCTTGACCTGCTTCTTCTTTGCTCCTGCTTGCCAACGCTCTGAACCCACTGGACTGTTGGACTGTCTGGGGAGGCTACCTGTTGCTGACCTGCTTATTCTCTGCACTGGCCTGCCAGGTCTCTGAACCCACAGGTGGTTGCTTTTACACCTCTATGGCAGGGTGGTAGATCTCCAGGACCAACATCATTGCAGCACGCAAAAGGTTTTGACATTTTATAAAGAAGAAAAATACTTAAGTTTGTACTTTATGAATTCCACCAGACTATTTTTAATTGCGTGGATTTGCGACGCTAGAGATGGCAGACTTTCACATCACAAGGCATGTCCATCAGACATTGCACAACTGAAGGAGTGGAGTCATGAAAATGTATGACAATGTTATTTAATAGCACTCTTCGGGACATGATTGAGGTCATTTTACATCTGCCTAACAATTTCATACATTCCACAATGTTCCAATCTGTACTCTATAAATCTTTTTTTAATTGCTCAGATTGTTCAAGACTGTATCTATCTAAAAAATGCCCAGATATATTTTTTTCTTCCAACAACTTAAAAAAACTCCAGCAAGCCACCCTCACTTTCTCAAGTTGGCCTTGGAACGACTACTTAAGAAACTTTGTGCAGTAAAAGGATTCTTTTATTTTTCTGCTTATCCTCTTGGGTCTGGGGGATTGCACACACTGGGCGGGAAGGCAGGAAACACCCAGGTCAGCAGTCCATAACAGGGTAAACATTCATGCACTCACACCTAGGGCAATTAACTGGCAATACATGGAGGAAACTCCGCACAGAAAGGACTCTGGTCGACCCAGGCATTTCTTACTGTGAGGCGACAGCGCTACACACTGCTCAGGGATTTATTAACGAAAATGTAATATTTAAACCAAAGTGTAAGGGTGTACAGCAATTCTTCTTTAAAATACACTTAAATACCACTTCAGACTACTTGTTCAACTCATGTAACCTTCAGGAATAGACTTTAAATACTTACAATAAACCATTAAGGAACATTCAACTTCAACAGTGAAAACTGTAGGATAACCTGTGTTTCCTTCTTTTATTCAGTGATTGTTATTCAGTAAGAACAGCATAGTTCAACTCACCACTGTGAAGTTCAGATGGAGGTTCAGTCAGGACCATTTTCTTCTCCCTCAGTACTGCAGAGCTGGTTGTGGCTTTTTATATCTTTTTATACTCAGAAGATGAAACTGCAGCTTCTGTTTGTCTGCTTGGGCTTGAACAGCTTGCTGATTGGTGGATGCATTTTATTTTTCCTGAGTTGAATCACTTGACACTGTGTGCCTGGTAAGAGGCTTGGATGGATCAAGACGCCTTCTTACAGAGCTGGTAACAGGTCGAACAGGTCTCTTCAGTTCTCAAATCTCCTCTCTATATAGGACAGGGAAAAACATACAAATCATGAAGATTTTTTTCCCTCTTTAGTCAGCCAAAACTGATTCTTCACAATTATCAAGTGGACATTCAAGAGACAATTATTAAACAGCAGAAAATAAACAACTGAACACAATTGAGGTATTTTGGAAAGCACTTGTATTTTATTTAATCTTTTTTTATTTAATAGTTTATGGATGCTATTGGCTGTTGATATGCCCTACTTCCTTAGGTTTTACAACACTAGGGAACAGCCTACTTACTTGTTTTGCACCTCAAAAAACAATGCACTTAAAATATTTTAAATTATTGAAACTACATATTAACATTACATTAAAAGATATGAAAGGAAAATGTACTGACATTTTTTTTTAATTTGACATGCAAATCTTTTTTACCTCTTAATGCATTTGTTTATCTTTAAATTAGAATTTCTGAAGCTTTCCTCTCCAAGCAGGGCTACAGTTCCTCTCCTGTATGAATGCGCTGGTGCATCTTGAGGGAACGACTGTTTGTAAAACTCTGTCCACACTCTGAGCAGTGATAGGGTCTCTCTCCTGTGTGAATGCGCTGGTGTGTTTGAAGATTACTCTGTCGATTAAAACCCTTTCCACACTCTGAGCAGAGGTACGGTTTCTCTCCTGTGTGAATGCGCTGGTGTGTTTGAAGATTACTCTGTGCATTAAAACTCTTTCCACACTCGATGCAGTAATACGGTTTCTCTCCTGTGTGAATGCGCTGGTGTGTTTGGAGATAACTTTGTCTACTGAATCTCTTTCCACAGTCTGAGCAGTAATACGGTTTCTCTCCTGTGTGAATGCGCTGGTGTCGTTGGAGAGAACTCTGCTTACTAAAACTCTGTCCACACTCTGAGCAGTGATACGGTTTCTCTCCTGTGTGAATGCGCTGGTGTGTTTGGAGATTACTCTGTTGAGTAAAACTCTTTCCACACTCTGAGCAGTGATACGGTTTCTCTCCTGTGTGAATGCGCTGGTGTGTTCTGAGATGACTTTGTACAGTAAAACGCTGTCCACACTCTGAGCAGTGATACGGTTTCTCTCCTGTGTGAATGCGCTGGTGTGTTTGAAGATTATTCTGTGTATTAAAACTCTTCCCACACTCTGAGCAGTGATACGGTTTCTCTCCTGTGTGAATGCGGTGGTGTATTCGGAGATGACTCTGTACAGTAAAACTCTTCCCACACTCTGAACAGTGGTGTGTTCTTTCTTTATCTTTAGTCTTTTGTGTTTGTCTGGGAGGTGTGTTTGTGCTGAGAGCAGCAGAGGATGTCTTCTTAGTACTGGATCTTCTGGACATTATGTCCTCACATTTCATCTTTTCTAATGTTAGCAATATTATGTATTCTTTTTGCTGGCATTTTTGTATGTATTTGTGCAGGTAATTCACAACTTAGCAGCAAAGTGGACACCAGTAGCAGATGAAAACTTGCTACAGGAGGTCAGTCCTTTCTGGAAGAGAAAAAGGGGAAAAAGTAAATGCCAAATGCAACAAAATAGTAATGAATTCAACAACTCACCACTAACTGCTTTTTAAATGTGCAATGCATAACATATCTTATTCTTATTAATGTCTGTTTACCATTTCCTTTTCATTATCTTAACATGGGTACACATCACCAGTCCAGCACAGTTTGGTAGTTTTGTCTGGTCAAACACGCCCCCTAAACTATATTTAATTGAAAATTGTACACAGACAACATATCAAATGTTGAAACTAAGATTTTTTTTATTCTTTGAAATGAAAGTTTCAGCAGCTGACTGGGAGAGAGATGGTCAGCTATATTACATAAGTGAAAGAAAGAGGTTTTAACAAGGGAGCTGACATGAGAGTTTAGTTTAAGTGAAGAGTCAAGGATGACACCCAGATTATGGACCACAGAGGAGGGAGGTCAGTTTTATTGAGAGCAGATTTAGAACCAATGAGAGTCCAGTCTCATCACTGTTAAGCATTATAGAGTTGTGCTTCATCCAGTTCCTAATTTTTAAGAGGCACAATTCCAGATTACCAAGAGGGGGGTTAACAGCCGAATTGGTCTGAAGATAAATCTGAGTGTCTTCCGCATAGCAATGAAAATCAAGATTAAAATGGTGAATAATCTTGCCAAGATTGTTCTTGCATGTAAATAATGAATAATAATGGACCAAGTACTGAACCTTGCGGGACCCCTAGGGCTGACAGTGGAAGTGGAGAAATGATGCCCAGAGAGAGTAACAAATTGTTTATGATCTGTGAGATAGGAAGCGAACCAGTCAAGAGCAGAACCTACAATACCCAGCTCACTCAGTCTAGAGAGGAGGATGGAATGGTTGACTGTGTCGAATGCAGCGGTTAAATCGAGTAGCACGAAAATGCTAATAGCACCGGCATCAGCTGTCACCAGCAGATCATTAACAACCTTAACCAGAGCTGTTTCAGTGCTATGATGAGGCCGAAAACCAGACTGGAAGGAATCTAGAAGATTATTTGATTCCAAATAAGCTTTGAGCTGGACAGCAACACACTCAACAACTTTAGATAAGAATGGAAGATTTGAGATGAGACAACAATTATTAAAGTTAAAATTGTCAAGGCCAGTTTTTTTTAAGGACTGGAGTAACAGCAGCTATTTTGTACACCGAGGGAACATGGCCAGAGGACAATGAACAGTTAATGAAAGAAGTGAGATGGGGGACCAAAGCAGACATAAAGGCTTTGACTAATGGAGTGGGGAAGGGTTGAGGGAGCAGGTCATACTTTTAGACTCGGTCAGTAACCTGACTGGGTATAAACAGAGCATCCCAGAATTGCTGAGTCTTTCAGAAGTAAATAGGGTGAGGGGTTCACCTCTCTCTGAAAGACTACCTGGGTCAATAGTGCAACAATTCAAAAATAAAATTCCTCAACATAAAATACCAAAGAACTTGGGGATTTCATCAGCTACAGTACATAATATCATTAAAAGATTCACAGAATCCAGAGAAGTCTCTATGTAAGGGACAAGGATGAAAATCAACATTGGCTGGCTGTGATCTTTGGGCCCTCAGAGAGCACTGCACTAAAACAGACATGATTCTGTCACTGCATGGGCTCAGGAACACTTCTGAAAATCACTGCCTGAACACAGTTTGTCGCTGCATCCACAAATCCAAGATGACGCTGCCTCCTTCTCTGGGCCCAAGCTAATTTAAGATCGACTGAGAAGAATTGGAAAATTGTCCTGTTTTTTTATTTCACACTTCCTCTGCCCACTTTGAGACCACTGCTCAGGCTCAGCTAACCACCACTGCCCTGCTCCCTTCCACAGAGGAGCCAGCACTCATGCTGGCTACAGATGAGGTCAGGAGTGCACTGATGAAGGTCTCAACTCAAAAAACAGCTGGTCCAGGTGGCCAGATGGGTAGCGTGTGCCAATCAGCTGATTGCCTCCTCCATGGACATCTTCAGCATTTCCCTGGCACAGTTTACCATTCCTGCCTGCTTAAAACCCACAACCATCATCCAAGTCCCAAAGAAACCCACCATCTCATGCATGAATGACTACTGCTCCATCATTCTCACTCCCATAGTGATGAGGTGCTTCGAGAAACTGACCTTAGCTCACATAAAGAGCAGTCTTACTAGCACTATGGATCCCCATCAGTTTGCCTACCATGCAAACGGATCTACTGATGACGTGGTCTCCCTAGCAATGCACAGTGTGCTCAGCCACCAGGATGGAGTTAACACCTATGTCAGAATGCTGTTTATTGACTTCAATATTGTTTATTGACAACAGCATCATCCCCTCCAGATAGGATGCCCACATAGCTGTGTCCTTGCACCCATGCTCTACACACTGTACACCCATAACTGCCTCACAAAACACAGTTCCAACACCATCATCAAGCTTGCCGACAACAGAACAATTGGCAACATTAACAATGATGAGAGATCATATAGGCTCCTTACAGAGTGGTGCCTCCTCCTCAATGTTGGCAAAACCAAGAAGTTGATTGTTGATCTCAGGAGTGGAAGCAGAGTTCTGGTTAAAAGATCATCTTCCACTCTTAACAAGGCAGTCTCAGTACAGTGCAAGTTGCGAAAACCAGATTGGAAAGGCTCATATTGATTATTTCTGCTGAGAAAATTCTAAAGCTGAGAGGCCACACCCCTTTCATCACTTTAGCCAAAAAGGGAGATTTGAAATGGGTCTATAATTGGAAAGTATTGAAGTATCTAACCCAGGTTTCTTAAGAATGGGAAACACAGCAGCTATTTTGGGAGAAGTTGGGACAGAACCTGAGGAAAAAAACACTGACTAATAAGTTGAGCTATAGGAGAAGAAATAGCAGAAAGACAGGACTTGAGAAGAGCAGTAGGGACAGGGTCAAGCTGACAAGAGGAGGAAGAAGACCTAGAAATTATCTCTATGACTGTACATGAATTAACAGGAATGAAAGCAGATAGACTGTCAACACTTTGAATTAATTTCAGAGAAAGAGGACTGCTCTACAGTGGGGAACTACTGGTAGATGCTGTTAATTTTATTCTTAAAGAAATCCTGAAAAGCATGACAACTAAGCAGGGAAACAGGGAGCAGATGACGAGGGGGGTTGGAGAGGTTTATGTACAGTCCTAAACAGAGTTTTGGGTCTAGAGCTGCCACCATTTATAATATTTGAATAGTAGGCAGAGCGGGCAGCATTTAGGGCATCCCTGTACCTACAGATATGCTGCCTAAAAAGCAAGTGATAAACAGTAAGCACAGTTTTCTTGTACAGATGCACAAGACACTTTCCATTAGCTTTCATAGCTCTGAGCTCAGGGGTGAACCATGGGGGGGTACGAGAAACAGGAACCAGTTTAGTTTTGAGAGGAGCATGAAAGTTAAATATGCTAGAAGTAGTCTCATTATAAAGTGAAACCATGACATCAGAAGAGGAGAGATCAGAAAAGTCAGAAAGAAGAGAAGTCTAAACAGATTTGGACAACAGATGAAGGTCAACAGAAGCAATGGAGTGGGGGAGGAAACTTTCAAAGCCATATATTCGTAGGAAGAAACATTGTGAAAAGGCACTTCTTTAACCTTCAAACTGCTGGGTAAAACTGCAGCTAGACCTCCCTGTTTGCTTGTGAGACAAAGCTTAGACATAAATGAATATCCTGATGGTGCTAACATATTTAAGCGCAGACAGTCCCCAGGCTGTTGCCAAGTTTCAGTCAGCAGGAGCAAATCCAGATTTTTCTGAGCGATCAAGTCATTTATAATTGATGCCTTATTAGTTATGGAGCGAGTGTTCAGAAGGCCTATTTTTGCAAGAATTATGGTTGAAATATTGGAGAAGGTTGAAATAGTGGTATCCGTTTTGCAGAATGTGTGAAGAAACAAAGATCTTCTGCCCCCCTGCTGCAGTAGGCACATTCCCATTGGGACCAGAACAAAGCATAGTGAGAATCACTTTCTTTGACTTCTCAAGTGCATTTCATACCATCCAACCTCTCATGCTGGGGGAGAAGATGGAGAAAATCCAGGTGGACAAGTCCCTGATTGCATGGATCTTGGACTACCTGTCTGGAAGACCCCAGTATGTGTTGTTGAGAACCTGCCTGTCAGATCATCTGGTCAGCAGCATTGGAGCACCTCAGGGAACTGTGCTCTCCCCCTTCCTCTTCACCCTGCACACAACAGACTTCCAATACAGGTCGGACATCTGCCACCTTCAGAAATTTTCTAATGACTCTGTGGTGGTTGGGTGCATTAGGGATGGGCAGGAAGGAGAGTATAGGAACCTTGTGGAAAGCTTTGTTGAGTGCTGTATGAGGAACCACCTGATCCTCAATGTGACCAAGACCAAGGAGATGGTGGTGGACTTCAGGAGGAAGAGGACCATGATCAGTCCCGTTACCATCATGGGTCAGAACGTTGAGCTGGTAGACACTTACAAATATCTGGGTGTCCTGTTTGACAACAAAATGGACTGGAGAGCCAACACGGAAGCTGTGTACAGGAAGGGGATGAGCAGACTCTACTTTCTGAGAAGGCTCAGGTCCTCTACCAGTCTGAGAAGGCGATCTTCTACCAGTCTGTTGTTGGGGGTGCTGTGTTCTGTGCAACAGTCTGCTGGTGAGGCAGCATCAAAGGGGGAGATGCAAATAATCTCAACAAACTGATCAAGAAGGCTGGGTCAGTCTTGGGCTGCTCACTGGATGGTTTTGAGATGGTGGTTGAAAGGAGGTCACTCAATAAACTCACTGCTATCCTGAACAACACATCACAGCCCTTCCATGACCTACTGGTCAGACAGTGGAGCACCTTCAGCAAAAGACTAATTCAGTTCCACTGTAGTGATGAATGGTACAGGAGGTCCTTTGTACCCATGGCGATCACACTGTATACTGAGCCACTGACAGGACATGCTCACTGGGCACCAACTGGACGTTACTACATCTCTCCACTCATATTACTATGCACTGCCATTTTGATTATATATTTATACATATTCCATATTGCACTGCCCCTTTGTTTATGTATCTATAAATGTCATATTGCACAACTGTACATAGTCGCTAGTTCATTCACTGGAGGGGACATGCACCACTGCATCATCAACTGCATAGAATTTATGCAATTTACTTCTTATTTTTTTACTGCACATTATTTTCATTGTTTTAGTATATTTAATTTTATTATTTATCTTTACTTTCTATTTATGTATCAGTAAACAGTGTATGACAATACTTTGCTCCTGTTCATTTTGCTCTTGTTTTCCTCTTTATTGTGCATTGTACTGCTGCAATAGAACTTTCCTTCAGGGATTAATAAAGTGATCTATCTATCTATCTTTGATAAGCAGAGAAAATCAATTTGCATAGGAATCACATACATAAACATATTTAGACCCCATCATATTTCATATGATAGACTAGAAACCTTGTAGGGGTAACAGGAATAGCTCTTTCCTGGTTCAGATCCTACCTAACTGATCGCTATCAGTTTGTTAATGTAAACAGTGAATCATCTCTTTTTGCAAAAGTAAAGTATGGTGTTCCACAAGGCTCTGTTTTAGGACCTGTATTATTCACATTAGATATGCTACCACTGGGTACCATTCTCAGTAAACACAGCATCAATTTCTTCTGCTATGCTGATGACACACAGTTAAATATATCAACCAAACCTGATGACAAAATTCAACTTAGCAAGGTTGAAGACTGTATAAAAGACATAAAAGACTGGATGTCGAATAACTTTCTCCTACTTAACTCGGATAAAACAGAGGTTCTGCTTCTTGGTCCAAAAGCAGCCAGAAACAAACTGTCTAATTTAACACTTAAACTTAACAATTTCTCAGTTGTATCAGGTTCATCTGTAAAAAATCTTGGTGTCATTATAGACCCTGATCTGTCCTTCGAAGCACATATAACTAATATTACTAGAACAGCCTTCCTGCATCTCCGCAATATTGCTAAATTGAGAAATGCATTATCTCTACAGGATGCAGAAAAGCTAGTTCATGCATTTATTACTTCAAGGCTAGATTACTGTAATGCCCTGCTGGCTGGATGTCCCAGCAAAAGCCTTAACAAGCTTCAGTTGGTCCAGAACGCTGCAACTAGAACCCAGAAGGTTTGACCATATCAGCCCAGTTTTATCAACCCTACACTGGTTACCAGTTAAATTTCGCATTATAAAATTCTCTTACTGACCGATAAAGCTCTAAACGGACTCGCCACTCAGTACCTGAGTGAACCTCTCTCTCACTATGAACCATCACACCTACTTAGATCACAAGGTGCTGCTCACTACTTGTACCTAGTAGGGCTGAAACAAATGACTAATGTGATAGTTAATATATCGGTTACTAAAACAAATAATCTATTATTCAGATTATGAATTATTACATTACCAAATCACTCTTATGTACCTATTAGCTTTTAAATTGAGCTTGAGGTTCTTTTATGCATTTGCTAACTTACAATGAAGAAAATAAAGATGAATAAATTAATTAACTTTCCTACTAATACAAAACATAAATAAAACTCCAATATCATTTTCCTGTCAAAATCTAAAACCAAGGACGTGGTTTTAAAGTAGCAGCAACAAAATATAACAAAATTAAATCAGTTTTCCTTTAATCAAGTAAAACAAATCAATCTAAATTTAAATGTTAAATTTAAACTGCAGTCTGTGCTCTGCTGTCTGTCTACATTCTGCTGAAACTAAATTCTACAATCACAGTCTTTCGTGAAACAGAAGAAGGTCAGCATCTCTCTGAGAGCAGATATTCCGCTGCAGAGCAGATGTGCTGATGGAGTGGAAGGGAAAGTGGCAAACAGTTGTGGTAAAGTTGTTCTCTATGAACAGTTAGATTTGAATGATTTTGTGTAAACACTTTTAAAACCGTACCTCCTGAAACTGACTGCAAGTGGTGGAAAATGTTTGCAGAGAACAGAAAACTGTTTGGAAATGTTCTCTTAAGATCACAACATTAAGTAGGAAGACTTTTCACATTAACATTGGCTAACTAGCTCGCTAGAACAACTATTGACGCGTCCTAAACCTTCATCAGACATTTCAGTTCTATTCATTCATATTTCCTTACATAATAAGTAATAATAATCACCTGCCTTAAGCTACTGCATTTGATTATACCATTATCTGTTAAAACACACTTGGCTATGCTCTTGACTACATCAATTAACATTTCCCCTTATCCATCTTTCATTGATCAAGAAAGTTCAAAATAAGTTGGAATCTATTGATCGTCCCCAACTGTGACTAAACAAGAAAGTGTTAAATATATGCTTTGTCTATGAAATGAGTGAAACATCAAGTTATGGTCAAAACTGGGTCTCTCAGTGTGTGCAGGTTCTTAGACAATGTTCAAATGAGACGGAGTCAGTGTTTCCCAGACCTGGCTGAAACTCAGCAATACAGTTTGCAGCACCCTGAGACAAAACCTGAGTGCTTACAGAGAGAGAACCAGCACAGCGGAGTGGGATTAACTATGGAATCACATCAACTACATATAGTGAACTTAGCTTTTAACCTATTTTTTAATTATCACAGGTTATTTATTTTTTAATAATCACCACAATCAGGCCTAGACTTCAAACTTCATTTTAATTAATTTATTAATGTTAATTCTTAGAAAAGTCATACTTAATAATTCATGGTTACAACAGAGTTTCTTTATGTATGTACGTCTCTCTGTTTCTGTAAGAGTGAGTTATAAACAGTGTAAACAGAGTGAAAAAGTGATAAACAGCTCTTTACCTTCACCGTCTTTACCTTTATCTTTACCTGTCGTTTTTTGCTCTTCTTCGTCTCTGCTTTGTTGAATTTGGAGAACCACAGTCTTAGAACTAGCGCCCCCACCTGGTCTGCAGGGAAACTCACACCGGAACCGCGTTGTCACTGTGACAGTATGGGTGTTATTTTTCTAAACCAACCCGTATTCCGACAAACCCCGCCTCCTGCGCTACGATTGCCTAGAAGTTCATGAGAGCAGTCCGCTGATTGGCTGGTTAAGAAGCGGTTTTCGTTACCGGAGCAACCAGAACCAGAGGATCTAGAGCGGTTAGAAAGAGAAGATCTAACGGGAGGGTTTTATCCCAGTTCAGCACAGCGGGACACTTCAACACTGCACTGCTGTCAGAAACTCGTCTAAATCTGTAAAAATCCAACAGTTAACGGCTAAAAACGGCCTTCAGGTTTAAACTCTCCATCAGTTCAGAGAGTCAGATTCAGATTCACTCTGATTCACACTGACTCATCAATGCCTGTTTATCTACAGCAACGGTTATGAGTTTACACAGATATGACATAACATAATGGAACAAGGACGACTGGAATATGTTCAACAATAAATGACAACATAAACTATATTTATCTACAGGAGGAGGCCGTGATTCTGCTGTGAGAAGTGCTCTTTTATTGAAAGACCAGCAGAAAAGGCAGACAGAGCACTGAACTCACAGGGAGGTGACCATTAGCCCCAGGCTTCACCCTCATGGTGATTCCCCGTCAAACACACACACACACACACACACACACACACACACACACACACACACACGCACAGAATAACACAAATAACACATATACACAACTTTAACAACTGTCGCTAATGGCGACGCTTATGGGGGCTCACACCTGGATTTTGCTGTAAACCTGCTTTGTGACATCACCTGATGTAAACAAATTGGATGAAGTTTGACTGACATCTACCAGGAAAAACTGAGATGTTCAAACAGTGGCTGTTTCAGAACAGACCGCTGCTACTGCTACCAGACCACAAAGCAGCCTGTTCACCGTGCGCCAAACAGTATGTAGAGAAACCTCAAGTTTTCTGGAATAAAAGCAACTTAATGAGACAAAAATGTAACATCACAGCTGTAAATGCTATTTTTACAGAGGATTCAAGAGAAACACATCATCATTGGCATTAAGCACGGAGGTGATTCTTTGTTTTGCTGGGTGGGAAGGTTTGTACTACAGCAGCGCAAGAAATTTGGTCAAAATTGGTGGTAAAATGTAGCAGATTATCAGAACATTTTTAAAGCCTTAGAACTTAGATGAGCTATCACCTTACATTTTTCTTCATTTGGGCCAAATATTATTACGTCTGTTTTGTCTTTATTTAGCTGAAGGAAATTAAGATGCATCCAGTTGTCAATAAGTTCAATGCATTTACGCAAGCAGTCTACAGGACTGTCATCAGGTGATGTAAATCTGGGTGTAACGCGATAGAATGACTGATGCTCGCGGGTAAAAGTGAATAAGCGGCTTTACTAGTGAAAACAGAATCCACAAAGAGTTCAGAGTCAAAGGGAGTCGTGACACTGGATGTCATCTGCATGGCTATGGTTGGCGATTTAATGGTCCTGCAGAATTTGGTAGCATGTATAATTTAAAGAGAAGCGGTGCAAGAATCGATCCTTGAGGGACTCCACAAGTTCAGGGGAATTTTGTTCTGATTTTTGCAGAGGCGGAGTTTAAACAGATTCATTCAGAGTCATTTAGGACCTTAACTAAAGCAGGTTCCTTACTGTAATATGTGTGTAAGCCAGATTGGAATTTATCAGAGCAGCTATTTGAGCATAAGAAGTGGTTAAGCTGTGAAAGAACAACTTTTTCTATGATTTTGTCCAAAAAGGGAGATTAGAAATGGGCCTGTAATTGGTAAGGACAGCAAGATCTAGATCCTTCTTTTTTAAAAGTGGTTTAACAGCTGCAATCTTCAGGGATTCTGGGAAAATACCTTAGATTAATAAGCTGTTTACTATTTGCGGTAGGTCTGTTTTCAAACAGTTAAAAACATCTTTGAGGAACTTTGCAAGTAAGACATCGAAGCAGATGGGCGGCTTTAAGTTTAACACGTTTTCCTCGAGAATTTTGTCTCTGTTAATACAAAAGTCAGACATTTTAACTAGATTCTTCCTGCGCTGCATTATGTGAGGAGCAGCTTCATTTACTGGCATTGACGTCACTATGGCCTGTCTGATGCTTGTTATCTTGTCTCTAAAAAAGGCAGCAAATTCATCGCACTTAGACACTGAGAGAAACTCTGGATCTAGAACTATAGGGGCTTTGTCAGTTTATCAACAGTGGCAAACAGAGTGCAAGAGTCGTTTATATTCTTGTATATAATGTCCGAAAAGAAGGACTGTCTGGCTGTTTTTGTTTCTAGGTGCCACCATGAGAGAAAAAAAATTCTTGTGTCCCCAAAATAGATTAAAGTTGTCAATGTAGGTCAACCCCTTTAAGCTACAGGTTCTTTGAATCCAGGTATTTAGTGCCAGCAGACATGAAAACATTTCCACGAGCTGGCACCGGGCCATGATGAATACATCAATGTTAAGTTTGCTGATAGAGTCCATGACGTCACAGAAGTTCCTTTTCAGAATTTCAGAGGCTTCTCTTTGAATATCTTTCTTCTCTATGTGTGTAACAATGTGGTTAACCAATCGGTGATCAGCTAGAGTTTCAGGGAGTTTGTCTTTGATATCTGTGACTGTAGCACTCGGGAAGCAGCAGGCAGTCAAGTTCTGGTCGGCTATTGAATACCCCACTATCATGTTCAAGTGGGCGTCGGCACTTCACAGGCCCCACACCCCCCCAGTCACTCCTCACTGAGCTGTTTAATTGGGTCAATGAAATTCTGGTTAGAATGTTGTTACTCTCTATCAATCCCTTCTCCTAACACTAATCTTGCTAAAATGTTGAAAAGAATGTTTCATCTTTCACTTGCTTTTTGGCTTTTACAGATCAGTTCACCTTCAACAAGGGGCCCAAAGTTTTGCATGCCTGATGAACTGGCCTCTATTTTTCTTTTTTGCCCCATGTAGCTTACAGTCATGTACACAATCAGTCCAAAGCCACACGTTTAACCCTAGACCCTCGAGGCTTGCCAATTGGTGTGCACATTGTTGACGTCATATGAGGAAGCTTATGTGGCTGTTTGGGACACACCTCTTGTGAATGCAGGAAGAGGACTGAGAGTAACTTTAACAGAGAAAGAAAGAAGATTACAGCGACCAGAGATTTGGATTGGATTGGATTTAACACTGTAAGTTCATAGTTAACAGAGATATGCTACACTGGTGTGGAGCTTAAACCAAGAACATGCTTTTCTCACAGTGATAGTTACAGAACTGTTCTTTATTTCAGGCTTATTTAAGGCAGAAAATGGCTCAGACACATGGAGGCAAAATGTGTGTATGAACAGGAGTAACTGTAGAAAACACTGTAAAACTAGTTTTAGTAGGAAAAGCAAACTGAGTTACATTTTATTTTGCGAAATAAATATTTGTCAGAATTTAAAGCATGCTGCAGTTTTATCTCCACTTCTTCGGGCTGTTTCTCCATGTTCAAACAAAGCTAGCTGCTAGCTAATGTTGACAAACCATTTTTAGGAAACATACAGACACCCTGTAGGGTGTAACATTAAATGCCTCGCTTTGTTTCATTGCTTGTGATAATCTGGTCCAAGCAATTAATTTCAGTCCTAGACGACCAGAGGCCTCTGTTTGGATATTTTTCCGCTCGAAACACATCTGTTTCAGCTTAGCAGCCAGTGACCAGATTTAGTTGGTGGGTTAAAGCAGAAAAATCACCAAACTGTGCTGGACACTAACCCTCCAGGGCCAGAACTGATGGGTCCTGAGTTAGAGCATTCACATAGCCTGAGCGAGTAGCATGGCTTGGAAACATCTCAGAAGTGCCATCACATCTAGAGGTTCAGCATTTTTGCATTACAACATTTGCATGGCTATATAATCAGTTACCACTGTGGCTAACCAAGGGCTTACCCTTGCTACCCTTGTGCCGTGAGGGACTACATAACGTAACATAGGGAGGCACACTTCCAAGTGGTGTGTCAAAGTTGATTAAAAAAGTACTGAAACAGGGCTTTCGTGCTACATGTATTGGCTCTATACCCAAACCCAAGTCTAGGAGTAAACAGAAAATAATGATAATAATGATGATATAATGAGATTTTGCCCACAGCAATCCTTTTAATAAAGAGTGAAGTGCTGTTGTAAATACACTGATATAAATAAATGCTGTAACTAAATGTTCCATTAAAAAAAGGTTTGCCCTGTTAACATAATTAATGTAAATCTTTATTTGTGAGAAACATATAAGTCATTACTTAATTGTGGTTTACAAATGACATACAAGTTAATTTTGCAGCCCCTAGTGTGATGTCACAGTGTCCTGTTCTTGGCTCCACCCTCTCCTATCTCTTCTCCTGTAGCCCCATCTGATAATTAGTGTATCCCTGTTGGGGCTTTGCTACCCCTTCTTCTATTCTTGTCTTTGGTATAAGCAGCTCTCGTGGTTCAGTTTGTCTTTGTCTTCGGTCGTTCCTTTTGTTTTGTTTGCTGTGTTTGTTTTTGTCTTAACTTCGATAAAACTGATCAGTTCATGCCTACATCCTACATTCTTAATGGGGGTCAGATTGTGTCACACCTTGTGGTGGCACCAGCACAGTGTAAATGGGAGTGTTTTATGTATATTTCTGCTGTATAAAAGGCCATGTGCAGTTCTAATTGTGATATATATGTAAAAACATATATATGTAAACCACAAAGACAAATGTTGTGAAGTTTACTGTAAAGTGTAATTTGTTTTTAACTGCAGTTTTTTTTACCATGCCATTAATATGATTATAATCAGTGTTTCAGTGTCCTACACATAACTCTTCATGGATGAATTGTTCACAGAGAGCAGTTTGGCTGTGTGTGTGTGTGAAGAGTAAAACTCTACAATGGAGCTTTATAACTCCAGCAGTGAAGGACAAACATCCAGTCGAAAGTGAGTAAAATAATCCTTTATTAGTGCCACAGTGGGGTTATTCACAGTGGTACAGCAGCAAAGGGACAACAAGGCACTCAAAAAAAGAAGTAACAAGAAGAGAATAAACAAAGTAATTAACTTTGATAATCACTTAACAAGATTACAGTTTGCTGCTTGTTAGTATATAGACACTATATATATAATGAAAGCACTAAGCCACTCGAGGCGGTGGGTTATGCTGATTTTATCATGGGGAAGGTGTTCTTTGGCACGACGTGAAGCGTAGTAAAACTCCTTTCCCTGTGATAAAATCTCAGTAACACACTGCCTCGGGTGGCTTGCTGCTTTTATAAAACGGCGGCCAACAAAAAATATATTAAAATGCACAATGTTTTAGATAATTATTTAAGTTATTCTTAATAACAACTGACATAAACAAGTATTTTGCCAAGAAGTGTAGATCCTGTAGAGTATGTTATCATAGCTAAGCGTCCATTGACTGCTGCATGAGGAGAAGAATGTTCGGTTGCCTATCGCTGTAAACTGCAGACATTCCATGATTTTACAACTTTTTTCATATAACAGTGAACATATGATAACACAGCACTGTTTAATACAAATACTTTTGGTCACCAAATCTCCACTGCAAGTCGTCTGCCTGTCTTATGACGCCACTTTTCTCACGTTGGGGCTGAATCTCAAACAGCTTCCTGCTCCCTACATAGTGCACTACGTAGGAATTTAAATGCCAATGCAAAATACCGCTAAAATGGTCATTTGGGATTCATCCACTTTCATACTCGACAGGCAGTCGCTATTTGACAGCAGAAGCTAGAATTTCTAAACTTAATGTTACACAGTGCACTATTTAGCTATGGAGCCTTTTGGGATTCAGTCTGGGTTTGACGCAACTTCTGACTGAAACACGAACATTTGAAGTGTGTAAAACATTCAGATGACATTCTTTAGACTTTTATGTTGCCATTTTTCAGTGAATCATATCGTAAGTACTTTAATTCAAGCTTGTCATATTAATGATGGAGCTGTTTAGCATGTTTGCTATTTTTTAGCCTATTAGCTAGCTGACCAGCCTAGTTCTAGATAAGAAAATAAGTTTTCAGCCCCTCAGTTTAAACAGAATCAGGTTCTTACTTCATCAGGACACTCGGTGCTCTGTGAGATTAGCATTAGGGTCAAAGATTAATCTATTAAGAACAGAAGGGTTTTCCATGACAGAGTTCAGTCGCTGTGAGGTGGTTAAAGCCATGGTATATTGTGGATTTTACAATGGCGTTGAATGTGGCTCAGCCAGTCAGATTTTAACCAGAATTATCTGTTTTGTAATACTAAGGACAAAAAGTATAAGATTAAAAAATGTTAATTCTATCTTTCACATAAACTCTATTCACAAAAATGACCAATATAAACATTTATAAATAAAAAAGCAAAATATTTTAAATATTTTACCAAAATTGCACATGAATTATTGATTATATTACATGTGGCAATGGTGATGAATTAACAATAAAAACACTTTAAATAGAAAAGCAATAAATCTTTACACTGTAGAGATATTTTACACATATTGCACATGGAGTACCGATTATATTGATTATATGGAGTAGAAGATTATATTGATTATAGTAGAAACTTTCTGTCAGTTAGAATGAATGATAAAAAATGCAGCATCTCCAGCTCACAGCTGTGTCTATGAAGAGTGACTAGTCTTAATATCTAGAATATCTTTAAAAAAGTCTAAATTGAGGCTCATTTTCTATTTAGTTTTCTTATCAATCATAATTGCCTTTTTTAAATCCAGTTATTTCTCACACAATATGCACAATGTGCCCCTTTGTACAAGGACAAGACGGCAAGTAAGTTTCTGAACCAAGAAAAAAAATAGTATCTACTTAATTAGATACGTCAATTATTTTAATTCATCTGAAATATGATTATTGTTTGTGTCAAAGAATTTTTAAATTGTTTTATGAAAAATGTTTTTAAAAATGAGTGAAGTTTTTAAAAAGAACATCAAACGCTGACTTACAAAGACACTGAAGTTGAGTTTAATAGCTTCACGAAAAGCATGTTGAACCATGCAGAGACAGGTCCATGATAAACCCTGAAATATAGGCAATCCTAGGAAATCAAGTTATCTAGACAAAATCTCAGACCTCAGTAACAAATTAACACACAGTCTTGTGTAGGGAGCTCAAACAGGCTAACTGAAGATGCTGTACAGTTATAGTAAGCACTAACAGGCTAAGTGAAGATGCTGTACAGTTATAGTAAACTCTAACAGGCTAACTGAAGCTGCTTTACAGTTATAGTCAACTCTAACAGACTAACTGAAGCTGCTGTACAGTGATGTTCAGCTGTAACAGGCTAATTGAAGCTGCTGTACAGTTATAGTGAGCTCTAACAGGCTAACTGAAGCTGCTGTACAGTTACAGTGAGCTCTAACAGACTAACTGAAGCTGCTGTACAGTTATAGTGAGCTCTAACAGGCTAACTGAAGATACTGGACAGTTATAGTGAGTTCTAACAGACTAAGTGAAGCTGTTGTACAGTGATAGTGAACTCTAACAGGTTAACTGCAGATGCTGACAGTTATAGTGAGCTCTAACAGGCTAACTGAAGATGCTGACAGTTATAGTGAGCTCTAACAGACTAAGTGAAGCTGTTGTACAGTTATATTGAGCTCTAAAAGGCTACGTGAAAATGCTGTACACTTATAGTGAGCTCTAAAAGGCTAACTGAAGATGTTGTACAGTTATAGTGAGCTCTAACAGGCTAACTGAAGCTGCTATACAGTTATAGTGAGCTCTAACAGGCTAAGTGAAGCTGCTGTACAGTTAAAGTGAGCTCTAACAGACTAAGTGAAGCTGTTGTACTGTGATAGTGAGCTCTAAAAGGCTACGTGAAAATGCTGTACAGTTATAGTGAGCTCGAAAAGGCTAACCGAAGCTGCTGTACACTTATAGTGAGCTCTAACAGGCTAATTGCAGCTGTTGTAGCTGTTGTACAGTTATGGTAAGCTCCAACAGGCTACCTGAAGCTGCTTTACAGTTATAGTGAGCTCTAACAGGCTAAATGAAGCTGCTGTACAGTTAAAGTGAGATGTAACAGACTAACTGAACCTGCTGTATAGTTACAGTGAGCTCTTACAAGCCAACTGAAGGCGCTGTACAGTTATAGTGATCTCTAGCAGGCTAACTGAAGATACTGTACAGTTAAAGTGAGCTCTAACAGGCTAACTGAAGATGCTGACAGTTATAGTGAGCTCTAACAGGCTACCTGAAGCTACTGTACAGTTATAGTGAGCTCTAACAGGCTAACTGAAGCTGCTATACAGTTATAGTGAGCTCTAACAGGCTAAGTGAAGATGCTGTACAGTTATAGTGGGCTCTAACAGGCTACCTGAAGCTGCTGTACAGTTATAGTGAGATCTAACAGGCTAACTGAAGATGCTCTACAGTTACAGTGAGCTCTAACAGGCTAAGTGAAGACGTTGTAAAGTGATAGTGAGCTCTAACAGGCTAACTCAAGATGCTGTACAGTTATAGTGAGGTCTAAAAGGTTAACTGAAGCTGTTTTATAGTTATAGTGAGCTCTAACAGGCTAACTGCAGATGCTGACAGTTATAGTGAGCTCTAACAGGCTAACTGAAGATGCTGACAGTTATAGTGAGCTCCAACAGGCTACCAGAAGCTGCTTTACAGTTATATTGGGCTCTGACAGGCTAACTGAAGTAGCTGTACAGTTATAGTGAGCTCTAACTGGCTAACTGAAGACGCTTTACAGTTATAGTGATCTGTACCAGGCTAATTGTAGACGCTGAAAATCATAGTGAGATCTAACAGGCTAACTGAAGCTGCTGTACAGCTATAGTGAACTCTAGCAGGCTAACTGAAGCTGCTGTACAGCTATAGTGAACTCTAGCAGGCAAAATGAAGCTGCTGTACAGTTATAGTCAACTCTAGCAGGCTAAATGAAGCTGCTGTACAGTTATAGTGAGCTCTAACAGGCTAAGTGAAGCTGCTGTACAGTTATAGTGAACTCTAACAGGCTAAATGAAGCTGCTGTACAGTTAAAGTCAGATGTAACAGACTAACTGAACCTGCTGTACAGTTACAGTGAGCTCTTACAAGCCAACTGAAGGCGCTGTACAGTTATAGTGATCTCTAGCAGGCTAACTGAAGATACTGTACAGTTAAAGTGAGCTCTAACAGGCTAACTGAAGATGCTGACAGTTATAGTGAGCTCTAACAGGCTACCTGAAGCTACTGTACAGTTATAGTGAGCTCTAACAGGCTAACTGAAGCTGCTATACAGTTATAGTGAGCTCTAACAGGCTAAGTGAAGATGCTGTACAGTTATAGTGGGCTCTAACAGGCTACCTGAAGCTGCTGTACAGTTATAGTGAGATCTAACAGGCTAACTGAAGATGCTCTACAGTTATAGTGAGCTCTAACAGGCTAAGTGAAGACGTTGTAAAGTGATAGTGAGCTCTAACAGGCTAACTCAAGATGCTGTACAGTTATAGTGAGGTCTAAAAGGTTAACTGAAGCTGTTTTATAGTTATAGTGAGCTCTAACAGGCTAACTGCAGATGCTGACAGTTATAGTGAGCTCTAACAGGCTAACTGAAGATGCTGACAGTTATAGTGAGCTCCAACAGGCTACCTGAAGCTGCTTTACAGTTATATTGGGCTCTAACAGGCTAACTGAAGTTGCTGTACAGCTATAGTGAGCTCTAACTGGCTAACTGAAGACGCTTTACAGTTATAGTGATCTGTACCAGGCTAATTGTAGACGCTGAAAATCATAGTGAGATCTAACAGGCTAACTGAAGCTGCTGTACAGCTATAGTGAACTCTAGCAGGCTAAATGAAGCTGCTGTACAGTTATACTGAACTCTAGCAAGCAAAATGAAGCTGCTGTACAGTTATAGTCAACTCTAGCAGGCTAAATGAAGCTGCTGTACAGTTATAGTGAGCTCTAACAGGCTAACTGAAG